ACTCTGTTAATGTGCTGGAAAACGCCAAAGGTATCGGCACACCAAGGAAGTACCGACGCATTCGCACTCTGTTAATGTGCTGGAAAACGCCAAAGGTATCGGCACACCAAGGAAGTACCGACGCATTCGCCGGATCAGCGAAAAAGAGTTTTGTCCTTTAAAGCTGTTTGGACTTTTCATTGGTAAAACTGTTTGGACCCCTCATTCTTTTAAAAAATTGACACTTTGATCCTCCTAATTTTAATTTCTTTGGTTTGGTCTTAAGAATTCCAATTTCTTGCAATTTAGTGCTTACCTACACAAAACAAATTAAACATATGTAAAATCAAATAAAATAAGTCTCAAACAACTCAAAGAACTAAAACTTAAAATTAAAAGACATGTAAAAAATATATAAAATTTAGATTTATCAAGCACAAACACATGTAAATTTGATAATTTACAAAAGGTGAATGCTGATATAATAGATTTGCATAAATAGTAATAAAGTAGAGAAAATAGAGTATAAATTTACAGAATAGAAAGTAAAACTAAATATACTAAAACTTTAATCTCAAAAAGGAATTTTAGCTAATCAAAAATAAAATACTAATTTACTAAGAAACTAGAATGCAAAATATGAATGGATAAACTACTCCAAAATAATAATAAATGATATGAAACACAATTATTTAACCAAAAAAAAAATGTATGTTGCATTTATTTCAAGTTGGAAAGAAATTGATGCATAGCATCAATTAAAGTGTAAAGGTGTAAATAAAGATGTCAATTTTATAATTTTTTTTATTTAAGAATGTTAACTTTGTTAATTTTTAAATAATGATGTCATCTTTCAACTTTTTTTTATTTAAGGATATTAACTTTCAATTTTTTCTATTTAAGGATATTAACTTTCAACATTTCAGTTAAAAAATCTATTTGTTACATTAGCATCATTATCCAATTAATCCTTAAATAAAAAAGTTTAAAGTTTATATCCTTAAATAGAAAAAATTAAAAGTTAACACCAACGAAGGGTTGGATCAAGTGGTAAGCGGCTTGTTCCAGTTTAAATAAGGTCTCGAGTTCGAGTCCTTGTGAACGCAGCAGCTTTCGTTGAGAGACTCACCCACCATCTCCAGGTGCGCGACGCGGGTCGATCCGGATTAGTCGGGGCGAAACCCCGGATACCGAACGGGAAACCAAAAAAAATAAAAATAAAAGTTAACATTCTTAAATAAAAAAATTAAAAATTAACATTTTTATTTAAAAATAAATAAAATTAACATTTTTAAATAAAAAAAAATATAAAGCTAATATCCTTGTTTCACTTATTGCTTGAAATAATTAATGTAAATCTATACTGTACTATTTGGAGTATAGTATGGATTTCACCAAGATGATGCAATACCTGGAGAAGGGTGCAAGCACAGATCCTAAGTTGTACACCTTGCACGAATACCAATACTATAAAATCATCCAAAAATAGAAAAGAGAAGAAGGTAGACAGGCAGATGGAAGTGAATACTTACAGAGATTGTAACTAAGCATGTGTAGTTGATTGCATCCTCTCGATCTGGCTCTAAGATTCTCTTAATATGCAGTAGATCATGTAGATATGCTTTAAAATGATTTTATATATCAAGACCAAAAGGAAAATGAAAATCAACCAAAGAAAGACACTTATAAACTAATTAAATGATACTTGTGCTTAATTTTATTTATTTAAACTCTATTAGGGTTATATAAAGTAAAGCTCGAAAACTTGAGTTTAGTTTGGGCTCCATTAATTTTAATTAAAATTGAATTGATTAATTAAATAAAGATTGATTAGCGTTGAAATAATAGTATATTTTATTAAGTTTTTATGACAAATTTGATTGTGTTGATATGTATCAATTTTTTGTGACTGAATTTTTGTCATAGTATTTATGTTATAATTACATAAATACTTTTTTTTTTAATTTAACATTAATTTTAATAATTGATGACTAAATTTTTTGTCACAGATACTTAATTGCATTTATAATATTTTTTACTCAATTGTAACATTTTGTGATAAAAATTGTTATAACAAAAATATTTTTTGTGACAAGTAAAATTATTACAAAAAATTTGTTAACAATGACAATTTTTTTTCATTATTATAAAATTTTTTTCTATGACAGATGCCAAATTCATCAGTAAAAGCATTAGTAATAATGATTTTATTAATTATTTAAATTTTATCATTAATTCTAACTTGTGATGGAAAATAGAAATATAAGAACCAATAGTTTAGTTGGTAAATATGGTTCTTCTTGTAGTGTCTAGTCTAGCTATATATATTAACAATGTCAAATTTGAAGCATTTGCTGTTTTATCTAAGAGGTTGATGTTTGAGGTGGTGTCGAAATGGCAATTCAGTTTAGCATGAGAAGGCTGGAAATGGATAGATTCTTTTGGCATGACTAAACTGAAACATTTTCTGCTGATTAAGTATTGAAGGTCCATTTTCATATATATATATATATATATATATATGGGTAT